TTTACACAAGCCACCCTATATTATGTGTCTTAAAGCACATAAAATTACCATATTAATATGATAATGACATGTTAATGACAGACAAACGAAAACAAACAACCTAGAAGAGAGTAAGAAAATAAGAATCACGGTGACATTCAAGTAATGCAAAAATAACAACGTTAAACGTGCGTTTATTTATACTATGCAAATTATCGGTATAACTGCATAATAGCTGATTAATGATACGGCCTGCGGCAGTGTAAAAGTGCATTCTGTATGCACCTGTTTGTGCAGCGAGCACACCGCGAAACCTTAAAAGAGAATTCCTCCCATTCATGTTGGAAATCGTAATAAAATACTGATATTCGTTGGTGTCCTTAGCTCTGTTAGATTCCAAAATGACATATGTTTAAAAAGACCTTGTATTTACACAACATTGGACATATTTTCAGAAATTTTTCCCTTTTTCTGTAACATTACATTTTTCTTCCTAAAGATAAACTTTTTCCGTCAATTTTTACATTTGTACCAACTAGGGATGAGTAGATCCGGTATCTCAAAAGAATAGGAGGTAATTACATCAAGATTCATGGACCTACATCCAGGTTCCAGTTCTACCGGATCTATATCATTCTATACTTGCTGCGCCACAAAATTTGATCATATTTTCAAACTTCAAAAGAGAGCAGTTCGATATTTATTGGGACTGAACAGTAGAACTCACTGCCAGAATTTTTTTAACTTCAAAATACTGACTCTTCCTTCTTTATTCATATTTGAATCCGTTTGCTTAATCCGCAAGCACATATCTGCTATTCCCGAAAGGCCACCTCACAATTATCCACTTAGGAATGCGGAGCACGATCTTTATCTGACAACCCCGAGCTCAGAACTAGTTAAATGCTCAATACTGTACAATGCCAAAAAATGTAGAATCATCTGCCTTTCGATATCAAGTCGCTTTCATTCTTTCCCGCATTTCGCAAAGCTCTGAAATCATACTTACTGGAGAGAGCCCTATATGCGATAAACGACTTTTTGTTGATGTTTAATCTTGAACGTTTTAAAACTAAACTTGAACGTAGTCCTCGTCTGTTGATTTCTTTGACGAACCCTGTACAGTCATAACATATTCCATAATATCTTGAATTTACCAGTAAAGTAACAACACTAGACACTAGACACATATTTCAAATAATATAAAATAGTTTCCATTACGATTACAGCTCCCCGAAAGTTAACTTAGAAAACAGTAGATACAATTCAGCAGTAGTTAAAAATTCCCTCTTTATTTCAATACTTTCCAATACTGATTTATTTCGCTGCTTCGTTATATTTTCGTTATCTGCCAACGACTTTGCGCAGATAGGGATCAATATTCAGTAGGATCTATATCCATCAAGATCAGACCTACTCATCTCTAAATGCTACAAATAATAATAATATAGAAGATAAAAAAACATTATTATTATACTCTATATACTCAGAAAAATATAAGGTACTTCTTGGACCTTACAGAGTCCTTGTACTCAACTGCAAACTGTATCCGCATTATACGGCATACGGTCAAGGAAAGATAAAAATTATTATAGGGTCAGTCGAACACACAGACAGGCACACAAGTCGTACTGAACGACCTTGCGGAATATCGGTCCGTACCGCCAAAAGAAATCTTACAAGTTTGCGGACCTTGGAAGACGGTACGGCGTAGGGTTTTTTTGCAAAAGGAAGTGGTTCGTTCGGTGCAGTGGAAACAAAACAAAGAATGAGATATGGCAGTGGTCGGTTTAAAACAGGTTAGCCTTAAAGGTAGTACCTACTGCAGGAATCGATGGAGGACCAGACTGGTGTAACGGTTTTGCGTTATATGAGTCATTTTATCAAGTATTTGTATTGTCGATCTTAATAATATTTAAATTCGGAAAAGACCAATATCAGCTCTGAAATTCAACACAGGATTAGTAGCGCCTCAAGAGCATTCTGGAAATTAAAAGACAGGGTTGTCTACAATCATGACTTAAGTACAAAAACGAAACTTGCAGTGTACCGAGCAATTATAATCCCTACCATGTTATATGGGAGCGAAACCTGGGTGCCGTACCGCCGACACATGAACGCATTAAACAAGTTGCAACAGAGACACCTTAGACAACTCTTAAGAATCCGGTGGTTCCATCATGTTTCAAACGTACCGGTCCTTGAAAAAGCTAACTGCGAAAGTATTGAAGTCATGGTTACAAAATCCCGCTTAAGATGGGCTGGTCACGTTTGCAGAATGCAAGACAACCACATACCAAAATATCTGCACGACGGTGAGCTTGTAGACGGTAAGAGGAGGCCGGGTGGACAACTCAAAAGGTACAAGGACATTTTCCACAAAAACCTAAAGGGGATTAACATGCAGAATGAGTGGGAAGAAGCAGTTCACAATAGAACTCAATGGAGAAGAATTGTAAACTCAGTTAACAGCGACAACCAAAAAGTAAAGAGGCAACAAAGCAATGAGATTTTTGAATGTCCGGAGTGCGGTAGGCAAATAACATCACGTATCAGGCTTTTCAGTCACAAGAAAGCTCATGAAAGAAAACGCCTTGCGTGACCATCTTCTGATGCGTTTCGAATACTCGTCAGCGAGTAATGGCAGTATGTATGTAGGTAATATCTAAATATTGCTTCATAAGTTATACTAGATGAATCCCTTGTAAGTAGGTCCTTTTAATTCAATACAGATGTTGTCAATTTAAGGAAGATATATATTAAATGGAAAAAGAGGCAGAAAATACCAAGTGGGACATCCTGGGAATCAGTGAAGTAAGACGCAATGGAGAATATCTTCTAGAACTTCAATCGGGAAACACGTTCTACTATAAGGGTACATCGACGGGAAGGATAAGCGGCATAGGATTTCTTATTAAAAAGGAACGGAAAGACAGAATAGTAAACATAACAGTATAATAAGTAGAATAATCATCTCTGGAACTAGATCGGAAATCTTAATTTTTAGGACTCTTAGTATTTCGTATAGAACTCTTCGTTCAGCTGTCCATCGGTTACATTCCAAAAGGGTATGCTCCACCGTATCAGCATCGGAGTCGCCATAGAGACATCTCGGGCTATCAGCTATCTTTATTTTATGTAGGTAATACTTGAAACAACCGTGGCCAGAAAGGAATTGACTCATGGCATAGCTCATTTCTCCATATTCTCTATTTATCCAACACTCCTAGGTTCTTTATAAGTGTTCTAGTCCATTTACCTTTCCCATTTCTGTCCTACACCATATTTCCAGAACTTTGTTTCTACTTTTTTTCGCTGTTCTACCTGAATGTTCTTGCCTTTTCATTCTTTCTTCTATTACTATGTCTATCGGGGCCATTGAAGTCAGAACTTGTGCAGCCTCCGCAGATATTGTCCTGTATCCACGACATACTCTTATTGCCAATCTTCGTTGCATTAAGAAGTTTTTCTCTATGACTCTGAACTTTGCAGGTTTCTCCCCAAATTTCGGAACCATACAGAATTGTAGATGCTTGTACAGCAGCTAGCACTCGGCGTTTCGTTTAACCCAAGGTAGACCAGTTTGGCATAATTCTGGATAACATGGCCCCCTGTTTTTCTGTTTTCAAAACTGTATGGCGGATATGCTCAGAAAAGACTCCTCCCGCTTTGGTACAGTTATATTTTGTTTCACATGAAAACGTACACTGCGTGATTTTCGGTTACTAACCAAAATAACTGCCTCCGTTTTGTGCGGCGCTATTTCTAGTCCCACCTCATCCATTCCTGAGCACACCTGCTCCGATGCTTCTGCTGGGTATTCCATACGAAGGAGTCCATCATACAATACGTTCCATAGTAAAGGAACCAGTATAGATCCCTGAGATACACCTATAGATGCTTTAACTTCAGTCCTGAAGACCTACAAACACAAATTAACAAACTGAATGCAGCCAGCAATAAAGTAGGTCTCAAAATTAATTTAGCAAAAACTAAATTAATGTACAACGAAAGAAAAGGCATTCTAATAAATAACAGAAAACTGGAAATAGTAGAATAAATCATATATTTGGGACAACTAATACACAGCTCGAGATCTCTACTACCAGAAATCAACCGAAGAATTAATTAAGTTAGCATGGAACGCTCAATGGAACGAAATATGCTGGGAATAACCAAGGAAGACCGTAAAAGAATGTAGTTGATACGATAAAAGACCCAGGTAATAGATGCCAGGTAATGATGATCGCAACCAAACCTCAGAATTAAATCCCTCAAGAGGCAATGGGCAGGACACCTGGCAAGAAGAACGGACAACAGATGGACCACAAAAATGACAGCATGGTACCCACGAGGAATTAAGAGAGCTAGAAGAAACCAAACCTCAGATGAGACTATGATATTAGGAAATTAGCAGGGATAACTTGGACCCGCATAGCCAACAATAGACAACGATGGGCCCAACTACAAAGAGAGTATCTAAATATGTGAGGGAGGCTACACCATACTTGGAAATGGTTGAATAGGCTGAAAATGATGATGATGATTCAATAATATACTGGCACAAGTGATATTACACAGATTCCACAGCAATTTTTATTTTTTTCTTTTGATTATAACACACCGCAAAAACGTGTTGAAAATCAAATTTAAATTCCCATTTCCTGTTATGGCAATACAGTAACGAACGCCCAACAACATCGATCATTAATACAAGCAATTTCTGTTTGGTTCTAAGGGCAAAACTATCGCCCATAATTCAGTTCTCGTTACGCGGCCACTACACCCACTTACTACCAGTTAATAAAGGAAAAATCGTACCCAATTACGGTACTGGCACGGTTCGATGATTTATTTGCTCGCTACGGTACTGCCTCGCGTCGGAATTAAATTATCTGGAGGTTTTTCTCCGGCTATAATAAAAATTGAAAGAAATAAAATATGAAATCTTCATTTGGATAATTCAAGTTATGTTTAAATTTATTGGAAAATTGAAATAAAAATTTTGTTGTTTGTTTCAGATGACGTGAACCACACTTTCGGTCCACTAGATGGCAGCATCTACGCCACGATCGCCAAGAAACCGGAAATAACAGGCGCAGTGTCCAGTCCGCTTACTGTGTCTATGGACAGTGGGATTTCATCAGCAGGTAAGGATTGGAATTCTGGCTAACAATTCAAAAAATACCTTATGGATTATCTCGTTTCCAAAGCAACCTAACCAAGATGCGATTTTCACATAACTATGCTACTTTTTTTATGAAACTAAAGATGCTACACACAGATTTGTCCTAGCCCTCTTAGTTTATGAAATACAGGGTGAAGTTGTAAAAGTTAAAAACTGAATTTCGCATAGTTTTTCACGTAGAACCTAGTGGCGAACTAGTTTTTCGCTAAGAAACATCTTTAGGTTGATATAAAAGCAGGGTGCAAAAAAATCAAAATTTAAAAAAATCGATTTTTTTTATTTTAATCAGATTTTTTTATTTTAATCGTGTCGTTTTTCCATATCGATCGCCAATATATTTTATTCTGTAAATTTTACCGATGCACCTATTTCGGCAAAAAAAAATCTCGCGCTTAGATCAAAAGGATTTTTTTGGGAATAGTCATGACTGTCTTAAATCGAGAGTAAAATTAGTACCATCTAATGTTCAAAGTGCAAAATACTAATTGCAGAACAAAATGTCGGTAGAAATTTGGAATGAACTAGAAGATAAATGGGGAAGGCAGAAGTTACCTTGATCACCACTCAGCTATTTTAAAAAAGATATAAAACAGCCTTGGCATACCAGCGTATTTTTTGACATTGGTTATAATCCTCGGGAATAAAAATATAACCTGACATTAGAAGAAACTAGTTCTGCACTAGAGTATGCGAATGAAATGTATTCGAATACCGGATTTCCGAAACTTCACAATTTCAAAATAAATCTCTGCCATTTAGTTTAATGGCTTCACACGAAATAACTTCAAAAATCGACCCAACATTTTAATAGACGAATAGATATTATACGTGTTATATATGTTATGTTATATCTTTTACAATTAACTTTTCGATCACTTAAAGAATTTAAAGGTTAGAGAAATACTTTATAGGAAAATTTTTATTACTTTTGCTGTTATTTTTCCATTGTGTAAAAGTAAAAGTGTTTTGGTGTATTGTGGTGATTTAGTGTTTTATTTTGTGTGTAAAAGTAAAAGTGTTTTGGTGTATTGTGGTGATTTAGTGTTTTATTTTGCTGTGTAACACCAAAGGTTCCAACCCCCAACTGTTATTTTTGTATCTATACTCATAGACGAGAAACCCTGCAAGTACACGAAAATGGGACACCCTCTATTTCTCTGACTTTTGACAGTTATCTTTTTTTGTAATACCTCTTCATAGTCTATATCCAAGAATATAAGTATTTTATATCCTACTTCACCATTGTTACCGCCATTGTCTACCACTTTCAACTAAATCACCATTTTAAGTTTAAAGAATTTGAATAAATTCGCCTTAAAAGCGTAATTAAATCATTCCTCCGAATTGCGCGCTTAATTGGAACTTCGTACAAGGTCGTAGACTGGTCTTAAAACAGCCTCGGGATGTTTAATCTAACCTAAACGATGGTTTTTCTTCTAAAAGCAAAATTCTGTTCGCAAATAAACTGACAACGGGCATATTTGTGTACTTTATTTAGCAACGTTATGGTTACAATTCGAGGAACAGAGAAGGTCGACCGTTTTTGTTATTAATAATTCGACTAAATTTAGATTTAAATCATAATATCTTACTGGTTTTCGAGGGCAACCCATAAAAAAATCCTCAATTAAGACCTATTGCTTTTAGTTGGGATAACCCTATAGATTTTAATTTCACGAGACGGTAGAAATAACATTTATTGTAAACCAATGTCAAAGTTTACAGAATAAAATATAAGTTCCGTCACTTGTGTCGGCGGCAGGTATCAAAAGCCGCTTCACACACGTGTTTCCCAGTGTATTACTGGTGTGTGGACTTTGGACCCAGCATACACGGCGGATCACGTTCGGCGTATTACTCTGATTTTGGCGTTATTACAGAGTGGTCTCGCATGCATATGGAATTATTTTTCAAGTGATTATTTAATTTTCATTGCAAAATGTTACTGATCACATTAGCCTTAGTTAATTGAAGGGTCGGCCGTAACAACGTTGTATGTAACATTTTGCTGAAATGTGATGTTTCCCTAAAACAACGTTTTATAAGCATATTTGAATGTATTGGCGCAACTGGAACCGAAAAATTTTGCCCGATGTCTGGCAATAGGGCAACCTTCAGTCAGTGCCAGCCTTGCATTCCCGATAATAACGTTATACGTGCATTTAAGCGCTTAGTTAGAGGGCGGTGCAACTTTCACCAGCGGATATTTCCCACTTAAATAGGGGAAAAAAAGGAAACCAAATATAGAAAACTGGAAACAAAACGCAAGAAAACGTTCAAGAGATGCTGGAGAGCAATATTCTAATTTATCTAGTACTAAGATTTTATTTTGTAAAACCAGTTTTTTGAAAATAATGTTTGCGTTATGTAATTTCTTTCTTTAAACCTTTATTAATAAAGTAAATTTATTAAAAAATAATTTGGGCTTTAATTTAATATACATTGCTTACGTGTAACAACGTTGTAAGTTACATGAACATACAACGTTGTTACATGCAGTTTTTACAATAATGACCTCTATAGTTGGATATTTCGTAATAAGCATTTTTAAAAATTATAAATCAGTATAGTTATAGCAACTTTAGTAAACTATACTAAATACGAAGTTTTATCATCACCTAAATGACCTCTTACCGTTTTTCGTGATTTATTCCATTCACTTCTTTTGTTATATACAACGTTGTTACGGCCGACCCTTCAATTATTTATTAGTGTATTATAAAAAAAGCATAATTATTTTTATTATTTCTTAAAAATAATATTGAGTTTTTCGCCACTGGAAAAAAATTATTTAAAATATTTAATTAGAATTATTCACTTAAACACTTTATTTTTTTACACGAAAAATCATATACTGGGTGTGTCTCAAAAGTGGCTTACCCCCTATAACTTTTTTATTTTTTCAGATAAAAAAACGAGATTTGGTGTGTTAGTATATGACCTAAATTAGGATTGATTAACGTTTTCAATTCTTTTCGGTCACTTCCAGTTTCACCGAAAATGACGACAACTTTTGATTTTTAAACGGCAACCTCGGCATTTTTCTACTTTACTCGATAAAAAATGACACTCTGAATAGAATGACATATCATATGTCACCTTTTGGCATTTTAGCTTAAAAAAATCTTTTAAAATTTCAATATTGAGTGTTATAGCTTTTTTAAAAACAAAACTTTAATCAAGGAGTCCTGGGAAAATAGATTTGATCGTCTAATGTTTTCCATGCCTTGTCTTGGCCGGTTAAAAGATGCCCAAATGGTATTTTTAACCATATCTTAATTTTTTTCAAATGGAAAGAGGGTGGCTCATTAGTATATTTGGAAAAAGTATTTCTTTACGAATAATTTCATGCCACACATTTGGTATTTGAGTCAAATTGTCGTTATAAACCGCGTGTTACACTTTCAAATAAATCATATGTGAAACTGTTAAAAGCTGACATATGATATGTCTTTCTACTCAGAGTATCATTTTCTATCGAATAACGTAAAAAAATACCGAGTATACCATTTAAACATCAAAAGTTGTTGACATTTAATAGTTTCAGCTTTGAATTTTATAGTGTACGTAATTCGTGTTGGAAAACCATATTACGCACTCATGGAATACTGCACTCGTGCGTAATATTATTTTTTCCAAAACACTCGTTACGTAATATACTTTTACATTATTTACTGTTGACATTGTGTAGCTTTATTTTTGTGTTTGTTTTTAAAATTTATTTTATTTTTGCTATATCTTTTTTGCCATGTCTAAATATTTATATGTAATACACCAATAAACTGATAGTATATTTTTTCTTTTGTAGATTTACTATTAGGTATTTTTGAAATACCCCACGTTCCCCTGCACCTTGTCGCACATTGCGATCGGTAAAAATGCGGCTTCTATTTACCCCGGCTTCCACTCCTGTTTTCATCGAAGTCCGGCGTATCGGACGAGGCGGCTTCTGGCTTTTGATACGCGATTTTCAAAGTGCCGATGCTAAGTGACCGAACTTTTTGCCAATGTGTACCAAAAACTTGTAAACCAATCTTTCTTTAAATATCAATTGGGATTACTGTATACTGTGTTAAATGAGATATTCCACGAAAGGCTTCTACATGTTCTTGATGTTAATGTCATGGTTAAGCAAAGCTGAATTTTTGTCCATTATAGATCACTTCCTTGACTCTCTTCTTATACCAGTCTAGAGCTGCTCGCTGCTCTCTATTAATATTATTTTTTTTTGGATCTTTTTGCAAAGAAGTGAAGGGCAAATTTTTAGATATAGGAAGTGCTTAATAAAACAAAAAGATTAAACAAAACCTTGTTCGATTATGATACAAAATACAGACTTTTCCATTTAAAATAGCAGAGAAAAATACAACCTTTAGTTTTAACTCGTCCTGTATATATCAAACAAGATTGAAAAATGTGGTAGTCCGAATTTTGAAGAAGACACTATTATACAGTACTCCCTGTTAAATTTTTTTAAAATTCTAATTAGAATTTAGAATTTTAAGAGGGCTTTAAATAAGCAGCAAATTTAGGCTTAAAAATGGTTATATTTCAAAAACCATTCGGTATAGAATATGACATTATTTTATTTTTGGAACGGAAATTTTGTGGCAAATCTACTGAGCTATAAAAGGATATAGTATTCTATTTAAAAATGTACAACTTTGGTTTGAAAATGTTTGAATCACTCTGTATGCTGACATAAATATTTATAAAAAGTGCGTTATTATTGCCTTCATATGAAATACAAAATATTAAAAACTGAAATGAAATTCACAAACCAAAAACCTAATATAGAGCCTTTTGGGAAGCCTGAATCACCCTTTAGATTTTATAAACAAATAAAACAGCGGTAAATTTTCCGTTTGCATGGTGTATTTACGGCTAATTTACGGCAATTGTTCCACCTAATTTCAGACATTTTACTTAAAGTTTACTGGAATCGTTGTATTAACTAAATATATGACCTTGACGCTATTACATTTTTTGATGCAGGGGGATAGAGAGTGGTCGGAGGATATTTTTTTTAATTGTATCTAAGAATGCAAAAAACTGCAAATTCCTGCTATACTGCAAAATTCCTAACTATGTTATTTCACTGATTTACAATGGTGGTTGTGCTAACTTAATATTAACTTAGCACAACCATCGATTTTTTTTGTTTTTACGGCTGATTTACAATTATTCCACACAGTTTTTCATACATTTTTTTAAAGTGATTGTGCTAACTTAACACACGTAATAGTGCTTCAGCTAATGGTAAACTGCTGATGGACACATCCCATCCAGTTCGAAAGGACCCATCCCATCCAGTTCAGGAAAGTTTTCTCGTTATAATTCGGTTTTAATATATTCTTTTGATGATAAAAATGTTATTTAATAATGAATTTATGCCCCACAACCCAAGAATCATACTTCTTCAGCTAATGGTAAACTGCTGATGGACATATCCCATCCAGTTCGAAGAATCATACATCTTCAGCTAATGGTAAACTGCTGATGGGCACATGCCATGCAGTTCAAAAGGACCCAGTCCAGGAATGTTTTCTTGTCATAATTGGGTTTTAATATATTCTTTTGATGATAATAATGTTATTTAATAATGAATTTATGCCCCACAACCGAAGAATCATACTTCTTCAGCTAATGGTAAACTGCTGATGGACACATGCCATCCAGTTCGAAAGAACCCAGTTCAGGAAAGTTTTCTTGTTATAATTCGGTTTTAATATATTCTTTTTATGATAAAAATGTTATTTAATAATGAATTTATGCCCCACAACCGAAGAATCATACTTCTTCAGCTAATGGTAAACTGCTGATGGACATATGCCATCCAGTTCGAAAGGACCCAGTTCAGGAAAGTTTTCTCGTTATAATTCGGTTTTAATATATTCTTTTGATGATAAAAATGTTATTTAATAATGAATTTATGCCCCACAACCGAAGAATCATACTTCTTCAGCTAATGGTAAACTGCTGATGGACACATGCCATCCAGTTCGAAAGGACCCAGTTCAGGAAAGTTTTCTCGTTATAATTCGGTTTTAGTATATTCTTTTGATGATAAAAATGTTATTTAATAATGAATTTATGCCCCACAACCGAAGAATCATACTTCTTCAGCTAATATGGTAAACTGCTGATGGACACATGCCATCCAGTTCGAAAGGACCCAGTTCAGGAAAGTTTTCTCGTTATAATTCGGTTTTAATATATTCTTTTGACGATAAAAATGTTATTTAATAATGAATTTATGCCCCACAACCGAAGAATCATACTTCTTCAGCTAATGGTATACTGCTGATGGACACATCCCATCCAGTTCGGAAGGACCCAGTTCAGAAAAGTTTTCTCGTTATAATCTCGTTCGTAATAAAATCGTTATAATCCGGTTTTAATATATTCTTTATATATTGTATATTTGTAGCTAATATGTTCAACATAGAATAATATATCGGTGGCCGATGTGGAAAAACTACACGCGCTGTAGAAATGTAAATATTACCGATATTTGACAGTTACGAAGATTTAGCCAATTTAGGATAGAGCTTTAAATGGAAATAAGTCGTTAATTATTTGGAAATCCGATTTAAATAAAAAATTGATTAAAATAAAAAATCCGTATAAAATTTAAAAAAAATCCTTTTTGGGTTTTCAAAAAAAGGTTTTTTTGACTTCTTGATTTTATTGCATATTGGTTAAAACTAGCATCACATAATTTTCCCCCCTTTTGCAGGCCACCAGCAGAACGCCAACACCACCGCCTCGTCCGGCAGCCCCCCTCCCACCTCCGCGCAGCCGTCCCCCCTCACGCCGGAGGACCAGCACCGCGAGCTCGACGAGCTGCTCTCGGACATGATGCTGACGGTGCAGAGCATTCCCGATCCGAAACCGAGCGGTACCGTCGCGGCATCGGGGAGCAGTACCGCAGGCGCGCACCACCAGTTCTCGCTCGACAACGTCAGGTACATCGACGAGGAGGAGGAGAAACCGGCCGCGGGAGGCTACAGGAGGGAGTACCAGAGGGTGAGTGTCGATTAAGTACCTAATATCAGAAAGTGTGTCGTTGAAGAAAAGTAGTTCGGTGGAGTAAATAGTGCGAGTTTTTAAGTAATTTGGTGGAAAGGATAGGTAAAGTATAACAGTTGAAGGGTAGGGTTAGGTTGTAGACGGCGAGACAGTAATCGATCAGAAGACTATTAGAATATTTTTTTTCTGTTTAATCTGAAGACCGTACAGAAAAGACTGACTTTTTTTCTTTGAAATTTTCCGTTATTCCTTTTTTTTAATTTTACCATAGAAAACCTGTGGTTTCATAAACTATATGCATATAATAATTATATTATTGTAGTTTGTAGTTCTTACTTGCATTATGTTAGATGTTATTTTTGTTGTTATTCTTGTTGATTAGATGTTATTTTTGTTGTTATTATTTGTTGAATAACAAATAACAGTTAGAGATATCGTTATGAGTTTATTTCTTGTACTAATTGTTGTGATTGAAGTATTTGAAATGAATATAAACTCAAAAAAGGCTTACAATATACAAAACTAATTTTCTATGTCTGGACACACACAAAAATTAGTTGGTGTAGAAAATTAACTTTCTACGTGTTGAAAATACGGTAGAAAATGTACAATTTTCTACCTACCCAACCCTGCAAAAGGGTGAAAGATAAACGAATTATTCTTGTTTCAGAAGCTATTGCAAAAATGTGTGATACCTATAAAAAAGTAAAAAAAAACATGCTAAGTGCAGTAAGTAATCAATATCAAACTTAACAAAATAAGCATACAAAAACTAAAAAATAAACTAATTACTGCTCTAACAGATTACAATAATAATTTTTATGTTCTTTTTTCTCCAGAAAACCAATCATACAGCTTAATGATTTTTTTGTTGTGCGATATTTTATTTTCGGAAGGCAAAAGCTTGAGGACAGCTTCCTTTACACCTTGAATAGTTTTTTTCTTCTTTATTGAAAATTCCTTACAAGTTTCAACCACCACTGAACGTATATGTACTCTTGCCACTCCAGGACCTTCCTGATCATTATAGAACATGACTGCTTTACTTATACTATTTAGTTTTTAGCATCAATAAGATCTTCCGCAATCTCTTTAAGATTCCAAAATCCAAAAGAATCACTTTCTGGACACCGATGATTTACAACACATTGGTTTTGGTTTTTTTCACACAGTCTGTCTCTGTTCTTAGGAAGCGCTAGGAACGCCCTACAACGGATGCTTTTCAAAACAATAATAGTTTTGGCGGGAAACCGAGCATTCCAATTTAAATGTATTCCCTTTTCCTATGGCCGGAATATAAAGAAATCGCTTCTTTCAAATGTATACTTAAAATTCTTAGTCTAAGTACACTTCGATAATATACAGGGTGTCCCAGAAATAAGTGCAAGTATTTTAACTGATAGTATAGTTCAACCCCAGAAACACGGCTACGAGGTTTTTTTCGCGAAAAAAAATTGAAAATTCGAAATTTTTTGGATTTTTTTAGTTATTAGTTAAAAAAGATAATTTTTTGATAATATGGCAATATAGGTATTAAATTAAATTTAGAAGAAAGAAAATCCAGAAAAGATCCAATAGTTCTCAAAATTTTAGCAAAAAATCATTTTTTGGGGGGAATTTTCAAAGTATCTTTGATCAAGACTTATTTGAGAAACGATAAAGAGAAAATTTGTTTCTTTTATCGAGATCTACCACCCCTTAAAATACTTGCGCTTATTTCTGGGACACCCTGTATATACAGTTTAACAAAAGTCTTCAAGATAACTACAAACTAACACAATGTCATTGAAAATCGATACTATATTGCCGTTTTTTCTTACATAATACAATATTTTTATTTTATGATTAGTAATATGTTGTTAATTAAAACATTATCATCTGTAAACATCGTTGTATACAGAAGAAATACAAGATAAGAGTATTTGGCTATTGTTAGAACATGTATTTATTTATGAAAATGTTCACAAGTTTATTTTTAGGTATTACCAATTTGATTTAGTATTTTGGTCTAAATTCTCAATCTTATTCGAGTTATTATTAAATATTTCGTGAGCAAAGTATGATAACAAATATAATTAACTGAGTATGCAAATTAAAAAAAAAATATATGAAAAAGTTACGCAAAATGTCCAGGAATTTATTTTATGACATATTTGTTATATCTGGAAGTGTTGATTTATTGTAAAACAAACTTATTTATTCCTGATATATGCGTCCACCATGTCTCACTGCACTATAAGAAATCTCTATAAAATATACTCTTACCCGGAACATCCTATATACATACGCAACTATTTCTAAAGTTACTTTCCGTGTATGATCGCCATAACACATACAATATATTGTCGACTGCAATATCTATATATTTCACTATCTATTTATTTACGTTGACAAGAAATGCCTTTACAACATTAAATCATGTTTCTAGCATACTAAACCAACAGTTATTGTATCCTATTTGTCTTAGAAATTTCCCGAAACTATAAATTTTGCTTTCATATCTTACCATATAAAGTTCTAGAATGTTGTAAGTATTCCTATGGTTGTTAAAAGCGATAGTTGGAATACTAATATGCTCATTGAAATGAACACCCTATGTAAGGAATGAGTATGTTACATTTATGTTAATACAATTAAAGAAAAAAAAAACAGCGGTTTTTAAAATTTAAGTTCTAAATATTTATATTTTTTAAATTATTAAAGTAAAAAATTTTAAAAAGATTTTAGACTTATTTGAAAAATGGTAAAGAGAAAATACATTTTTTTTAGGGAGACTTCTTTAAAATTCACCCGGTACAGGTAAAAAATATATGTATACCGTGTGGTGCATCGGAACACAAGACATAGGAAATCCCATGTAAATTATGAAAAGGTCAAATATTATCTACCCAGATAATTTTATGCAAAAGTTGTTTTAGATTTTTTTGAAAAGGCGTTAAAGTTGTACTTTTTTCTAAAACTTTGTTTAATTTGGAATAGGCATTTAAAAGCATTTATTTTTATTAAACATTTGCAAAAATCTACCTTCAAACTAGTAAAATTTATAATACGGCCCAGAGAAAGCTACAATTAAAATACCAGAAAAAATGTGATTTTGTCATTGTCAAAGTCGATGTCACATTTTGTTTACACGAATTTGAAGGTACCAAATAAAGTGTGTATTCCGTTGCTTACCTTGGTTATGGTTTTATGTTCCGTTTCTATCGGTTTCCTGAAAGTTTCCTTATTACGGAACACGGTTCCTGAAAAATTCGGTTATAACTGTCACCAAACTAACCAGCGCGAGAAGACTGGTTTTTCTGGTTTTGTTTGTCAATGTCATTTACGTGACAGAAATCAAGCAAATATTGGAAGTTCGAGTGAATTTAATTTCTAAAATTTGTAATAATATTTTGTATTTACATCCAAAAGCAATGGGTGTACGCAGTAAAGGAAAATAAATTTCATTAACTAAATAGAATGACTTTTTAGGATCATTTAAACTTTGCTTAAATTGCCATTGCTTAAAGTCAGGAACATTTAAAGAAAGAAGAAACATGAAAAACAAGACAAGTAATCGTGAATGTTTTGTAAGCTATAAAAATATAAATAATATTGAATAGATTTGTTTATTTATTATTGATCTGTTTTAATAATGGACTTGTAAATTTTCACTTGAACCTTTGCTTGAGCTGTCTAACGAGTTTAACAGTTTATTATTTATAAAGTACTTTTCAATATTAAACTCCATTGAAAAGAAGAAGCAAACGTAAAAGCAGAGAATAGGTACCTTAAAAATGCATAAAAGATAAATTTTATAATAGAGGTATTGAAATTTAGAAAACGTCAACATTTGACGTTTCCAATATTTTACCAAACCGTTCCGTATCATACCGATGTTTTTCAGGAACCGCGCTTTGCCATAGTTTACCGGTCTGGTTCGCCTAGTTTTGCAACGGAATACAGCCTAAAATACCAGCAAAAATTTGATTTTGTCATTGTCAATTTCAACATCACATTTTGTATACAAGAATTTGAAGGTACCAAATAGAGTAATTTTGTATAAAATAATTATGAATTTCACAATTTCTGAACAAATTACCATGGTTAAACGGCATTTTGCTGAAAATAGTATTAGATATGTTCGCAGCTCAATCTCCGGAAAGCATATACCGAATAGGTTAACAGGTTATAGAATAAACTGAGAGTTTGAACCTAAAGGCGCGGTATTAAGCACATGTAAGTGTAAAGACAAAAATAATGAACAGGAAGAAGAAAACAACAATGACTTGAATATTCTTCTTCATGTCGAAGAAAAGAAAAACATTGACTCCCAAAAACTTAATTTTAAAAATTTCTTTTTACTTTTAATCAGACTTTTAATACATTTCATATTTGATTTTTCATCTTCCATTGAATTTAAAGCACAAATTAGCACTGTAGTCCCCACTAATTCCCCATGCGCATATCAAATTAATTTTAACCATATTATTTAAATGAAGCAAAAAGAACGCTAAAAACTTTTACGAAAAGCATATAATTACGTGTGCAACTAATGATATTCTTGTTGTTAATTAATAAAGATTAAGGTTGACAGATGTTTACGGTTTGCAAAACAGCCCGAACATGATTTACATACCATCGGCGAATATGATGAACAACTTAACCGTTTTCAGCTTTTAAATCAGATGCACAACAACAAAAAAATCACGCATTTAATATACAGTACAGGGTTGGCGCTGAACTCATCTATTATATCCTCCAAAATAGTAAAAAAATTGTGTGTTGACTATGTGCGCATATTTGAAGTGGCGGGTACCTCTATGGCATGTGCCGAGTTTGGTTCCAATTGACCCATAATTAAGAAAAATCTTGATGATTTCGTCCAGTTAGAGGCATCGGTTCGAAACGTCGAGGGCGTCATCTTGTAGCCCGTCCCAAATTATGCCGAAATCGACCCACATTTCTCTTCAATGTCAAATCCTTAGTCCTACCCTGATGAAGATGTAAACGAAACTTCGTATCCAACTTTGCAGGGTGGGACCGTGTGCAGCGTCGCTCACATAGCCCAACCATCAAATTTGGTCGCGATCGATCGGACGACATCAACTTTTGACGTTTCTTGCGTCAAAACTAACTGTCACAGTGACACGTGTTGTACACGGTCAAGTTGTCCTTTGTCCAATCTATCGACAAAATTTCATTTAAATTGGACCATTTTTTCGCCATTGATGGTGCACGAAACGTCGTCAAAATATCATGAAACGATGGGGCTACAGTCCTCTAATTATATAAGGCTTGAGTTACCACGCTCTAAAGATCTATCTTAACTTTTCTCTAAGCCGTATGCTGTCCTTATCATTTTTCCTCTTGTGTGTCATGTTGCGGCCTTGAATTTTTACACCCAGCGCGCGTAAAGAAGTTTCACCTCAAAAATGAGATAAAAATCTTAGGTTAAGGATACTTTGAGGTGTACTTCCTCATTAAATTAACCATCCTTTGCTCGAAACAATTCATGGCTGTTTTGATCACCCTGTAACTTTGTTATGGTAGCGATGAAGAGGACATACTATAAGCGGCTATTTTGCAATTAGTATCTAATAATTATAGTTTATGAATCTCTAGTCAAAATTCTTTATAACTTCGACAAATTGATCATCAAAATTCTAAAACACTTGTAGAAGTCTAAGCTTTAAATTTTGAATTTAGATTTTAGTCTGTAAAGAAAGAAAATAATGAAAAATATCGATTGGTTTATTTATTAAATCAAAAATAATTATTATTAAAAGTCATTTGTATACAGGGTTGTTCGCCACATACGACACGGAGTATTATAGCTAAACGATTAGATTTTTACAAATTGTAAGTTTTGGGTTCGTTAAAGAACTACGAGAGCTACAATTTAAAAATAATTTTACAAGATACAGAGTATCCGAAATAAGTAAAAAATATAATAGTTGTATTTTTTAAATGGAACACCCTGTATATTATTCTATTTTTGGATTCTACGATTAAAATAAAGGTAAATTTGATTAAGGCTTATCATACTTAAACCTTACCGTTTTTGAAGTATTTTCAATTTTGTGAAATTTCAGTAAAAAATTTAATCGTTCATTTCTCCAAGGGTATGAAATGTTTTAATACTAAATATTTACTGAAGATTATTTATTGATCAGATATTGTGTTGCAATAATAAAAGTTATATTACCTTTTACAGAGTGTCCAAAAATGTATATTAAATAATTACTAGCTTTAAACGACAATAACTTGTTTAATCTAAATAGAACACCTTGTATATTTTACGTGAATCAGATGCACAATTTAATTGTCTACCAAATTGTATTATTCCATTTTTTACCTGTCTCTTCAAGTTTTTGTAGAAAATGCAGTTTCTTATTGACATTTTAAATTTTTTAAAACAACATATGTACAAAATGTACAGGTGGCAAAAATAATAATATTGCAAGCCTAATTGTTTACAAAAAGAAAACTATTTAAATATTTGTAAAAACATATACACCAATTATTACTAATAATTATTAATAGACCACCCCCTTATTTTTTTCGCTCAAAATTAGTTAATTACATACTTAATTGTTTTAATTAATAAACGATTCTAAATAAATGTGGATTTGACTCAGAAATCAATACAATAATAAGTTATGAGAATGAAAATCTCTGGTATAAATAAGCATTCGTCAAAAAATGAAATAAAATTTATAACGTGTTACTTTTTACCACATTGTCTAATACACATACAAAATTCAGTTTCTAGTATAGGCCCCCCTTAACAAAAAATATTTAAACAGTTTTTTTATCTTTTAATGAAATAAGCTAACTATATCGACAATATTACTAACTGGTACTGTTTGAAAATTTGTTACATCTTTAAAAATAATCTAAAATGTCAATATTCCATGGGTATGGTGATAAATGAGGTTTAAATTATAAAAAATGCATTTTCTTCGAAAATTTGAAGAGATCGGTAAAAAATGGTATATTACAATTTGATAGACAAATTAAATTGTGCATCTGATACTCGTAAAATATACAGGGTGTGTCATTTAAATTAAACAAGTTATTACCGTTTAAAGCTCGTAATTATTTAATATACATTTTTAGACACTCTGTATAAGGTAGTATTTTGTTTATTATTGCAACACAATATCTGATCAACAAATAAACTTCAGTAAATATTTAGTGTTAAAAACTTCGATACCCTTGGAGAAATGAAGCGTTAAAATTTTTATTGCAATTTCATAAAATTAAAAATATTTCAAAAACGGTAAGGTTTAAGTGTGATAAACCTTAATCCAATTTAGCTTTATTTCAATCGTAGAATCTAAAAATAGAGTAATATACAGGGCGTTCCATTTAAAAAAATACAACTATAATATTTTTTACTTATTAGGGACACTCTGTATCTTGAAAAACTATTTTTAAATTGTAGCTCTAATAGACTTTTCAACGAACCCAAAAGTTTCAATTTGTAAAAATGTAATCGTTTAGCTACCATACTCCGTGTCGTATGTGGTAAATAACAGAACAACCCTGTATATCTTACAGTTAACTGACTACCCAGTGAACATTATAAGTTGCAAGAATCAGTTTTGATTTATTTGGATTCAAGTTTGGAAATCTCAATTTTGTTTTTTTTTTATTTTAATGTGCGTCAAAAATAAAGATACTACTAGAATACCTTTAGAATTATGTTTGTAATTGTTAGTTTAAAATTGAATCATAGCATTACATTATGAACATAATTTACCTACCTACTTCCTACTTAAAGAGATTACTTTTTTATTTTGCTACGCTTTTGGAACGCCCTATATACTTTTACCTATTTTGCGTCGTGTTTTTACTACACCTGCATAAACACCCATACATTTCCACCCGAATTTCCACCTCACTATGTATATGTTCTTTACATAATTTATTCTAAACACTTCTGAATTAGAACATTGAAATTATTCAGAGATCTTATTTATTTTGATTGAAGACAACATAAATAAATAAAAATTTAATTTAAGCACCTTGTATATGTTTGACGGTGCTTCAGATTTTTATTGGATTTGAATTGCAAAGTAACACCAACAACGTTGTCGAAGTAAATTTAGCATGAGAGAAAAAATAAACTAGAAATGGAATCTCTTGTAAATAAAAACAGTTTTAAAATTTAAATTCAATCGGACGATGTAGAGACGATCGAAGTGTAAATCTTGGAGCACAGTAAAAGAAGTCTATAAAATAAGAGGATAAAATAAGAGTCTGAAAAGAAGATCCATTAAAATGCAAATAAAGATGTTTTTCTGTAGAGCTTCGAGAGCTTGTTGGATAAGCTGATTGATGTAATTCCATCATATTTTGTCTCAAAGGCGCGTTTGCATTTGTCACTTTTATGATCATCTTGGAGGTCTTATCTAAAGTGTAGATTGTCTATTATAGGGGTTTCCATACATGAAGAAGAAATGATAGGACATATTTTCATTGCGACAGTCCGTTATGTCCGCTTCTGAATCTGCCAGCATTGTTGCATAGCTGCGCCGGAAACAATGACCAGTGTATTCAATGGCGTTGGAGAGTCCAAGAAATTTCGCTATCTTTTTTGGCTTACAATTGTATTGATTCCAAGTGGCAGAGTACAGCATTGATTTTTTCGATACATCAAGAAAAATCGCTGATGTGTCACATTGAGTGGTCGAAGTTTTGCGTATGTAAGAAATTGATACCATCTATTGGTCCCTCAGTAATAAACCCTCTTTTTAAAAATGCAATAAGGTTTGTGAATTTGCGAATATCTACGTTTCTGTTCAGGTAAATCATTGTGCGGAGAGAGAGAGCATCGAATATTTACTCTTCAGAGGTGACAGCTTTGAGGTAGTGGATAACTTCAGGAAATAGGCTAGCAATACATTTTCTGTGAAATTCTCAACATGTTTTTCTTTGACCCAGGTTTCAAAGTTGTTGTATGTGGTCTCGAATAAGTTTTTCGACTTCTCGGGCACTAACGTGGATAGCGCAATTTCAGCAGCTTGTTGAATATCCAAAGACTCGTCATTATCACTCATTTTTTCACAAAACTTTGTAGGAAATACGGCGACGCGCGACGATGGCGCGACGTTTGAACCTGACAAAACTTTGTTATTAAACAATGCTTTAAAAACATCTTAGAAACCGATTACCAGAACATTTTAAAAATAAATAATAATAATAACATGAAAATTTCAAATTATCTGCTTTCACAAATTTTTTTTTATAAAATTCGTTGCGAAAAGAGTGTTTTAAGTACTCGACGCATTATCCAACTCGGATTTTGCCTCGTTGGACAATTTTGCGTCCCGTGCTTAAAACACATTCATTTCGCAACTTATATAATAGCTATTTTTATATTGACAATCACGTCGCAAAAAAATAATACTTTTGTGACGTTTGAAAAAAAAATTGTTTTGAAAATAAATTACTTTAGAAATTGTATGATGAACACTTCTATAATAGTTCTTACATTTAATTTTTTAACGAGCACATACCTACATAGACCAGTCACAACATTTTATGTCTTTTCCTTGGAATTCTTTACTTTCGCAGAATCCTAGACGCTACTCGATACTATGCAAACTTATTTCGCAAATTTAACATAAATATTTTAAACATGACATGTCAAAAAGGAATATTAATACTGTAAAAAGTGTGATATATAGGTTTATATACTTTCTCTAGAAATAACCAACTCTCCCAATTGAACTATTGACTAATGGCAAACTGTCATAGACGTTAAAATAAGTAGATAATATTTGGCTAAATTTTTCAATTTGCTTGTGAATTATAATGACACACACAACTGTAATTGTCTGCCCTCTACTTATACAGGCTATATTGAGTTTAGAACTAACGAATAAAATGTAATTTTAAGGTTACTTAGAGTGTACTTTTTTTTACAGGAAGAAGAAAAAGATATCCCGTATCACGCGCGTGAAAACAGTAAGCCCTTCAGCTACGGAATCAACCAGGACATGATAGGGGAATCTAAGGGCCTGTCGAGCCCTAGCTTAGTGCGTAAGGCCAGCGTAAACAAGAGCCACGGAAACACTTTGGCAAAGGTAAATATCCGAATTTTTATTTGTTACAGCTGTTGCCGGATTATATAGGTTTTATATTAACAGAGCTTTCGTATGATTAAGTAATACTCCTATTATTAAGGCTAGTAAAGACATTAAGTATCCACCGAGATAATATGATGCCAACAGCATGCAGAATGATTTAAACAAGGGTAGATTGACATCGATGTTGACCTCACAGATCGTAGAGCTTAGGAGAGGAGTTAATCGCCGCGACCTTACAAATCAATCGTGTTCCCCTTTCTTGAGTTATAACGAGTAATAATTCATCATACAGTCTCAGGGCTTTAACAAAAGTCAGTATCTGAGACGATTCTACAGTCCAGCTCTCCATCCTCGACATCAGCAGTGCCAAAGTTTATGGCACGAACGGTCATCGTCTCGGCACAGTCAGTGATAAGGTGTTCTGGTGTTTCCCCATTTTCCCCACAGAATCTGTATTCGCCGTTGTTTCTCAGCTTCAGCGTAATGAGGTGATCTTTGAGGAGACAGTGTTCTGTTAGAAACCCCGTAACAATCCGAAGATTGTTTTTACTTAAATCAAGGAAAATCTTGAGGAACTTTTTCGAGTGTCTTAGACCGTTGGAAGACACGACCCATTCAGATGATTAGCATTGTATAAATTATGTTTTTTTTTTTCAGATGTTTATAAATTTATATTGTTTTATTTTTAAATTTCGGGCGTCTAATTTAAATAATAAGCAATGTTTCCTGTACCAAAGCTGTAAACTTTGCCTTTACTAAATATTGCACCCTGTAGTACATTTAATTATACTTATTTACAATCATACACTAATAAACGTGAATTGAATGTACTAATTCAAATCATTATGAATGATAAAAACTAAAACGCAAAATGAATAGCCGTATTGTTTGTAGGCTAATAGGAACACTAATAACCATTATTCTCCCATGGTAAAAATATAATCAGCGTGGGTGTTTAATATCGTCGTTTGATATCGACAGCCAGCCTTTCAATCGAAAAACCTTTCAGATAAAGGTTACGTAACGCCCAACCTAACTGCCAATTAATCCGATGAATGATTTCTTTATTTTTTCGACCAAGTCCATTTTCTTAAAAGCATTTTATAAAAGAAACTGGGTATGTTTAAAAAAATGTTGTCAGAAAAATAAGCAGGGTTGGCATGATTTAAATCAAATGATTTAAATCATGATTTAAATCGTGATTTAAATCAAGTGATTTTTTTTAATTTTAATCATGTGATTTAAATCAAAAAATTAATTTTATTGAAACTTTATAATAAATCAAAAAATAACTGTAAAAGTTATAAAAATCTATCCTAGAAAACTATAAAAAATATTTCTATAACAGATAATAAATCGAAAAATAATTGTAAATTTTATAAAACTGTAGAAAAATATCTATTCATCAATTTAAATGTTGAACCGATTGTTGAAGTAATTTCGTGTGAATCCATAAGACCGCTAAACGCAGGAATTTATTTTAAAATTATTTATAAGTGACAAAAATTCGCTTTTCGAATACATATTATTCGCCGACTAGTGCAGAACTATAATAGGTTCTTCTGATATAGAGACTATATCTTCATTCCCGAAAATCTATAATCGTTGTCAGAAAATATGTTGTTTTTTTTTAAACGTTGGTATGTTTCCAAATTCTTACCGACATTTTGATTTGCAGTAAGTACTTTACACTTTGACATTAGATAATACTAATTTCATTCTCGACTTAAGACTATTTCCGAACAATATAGTGTATTGTTTTATTAAGAGTAGAAATTATACTTTTTTTTATGATGCTGTACATTTGAAGGACCATCGTAAAGCTATTCCGACGTTACAAGGAGGCACAAAAAGTAAATTTTTACTCCGAATAAAACACTACTTTTTTAAAACATTACAAATAATTTTTTAATCAATTTCAAACATTGCAAATAATACAACCGGTAATCGAGAAACGATCTGTACACTCGTTGAATTTGGCACCTAATATCAGTTTAATAATATATTTTTGTATTTTTGTGCTTAGGCGTAACAGTGCTTTACTTTTATGCATATAGCCGTTCAAATGACAAAAATTAATACTTTTGAGACGTTTGAAAAAAAATCCTTTTGATCTGAAGCGAGCGGAATATATTGGTGACCGATGTGGAAAAATGACACACTCCGTAGAATTGTTAATGTTATCGGTATCGAGTTATTAAGATTTAGCCATTTAGGATAGGACTTTAATTGGAAATAAATCATAGTCATTTGGAAATCCGATTTATATATTGTTTTGAATTAAAATCAAAAAAATCTGATTTAAATAAAAAAATCTGATTTTTTATATTTTTTTAAAAAAATCATGATTTTTTCCAACCCTGAAAATAAGTAACCTAGAGAGTTCTAAAGTACACTGACCGGTTCTAAAGTACACTTCCCTTATGTTTCAAGTGCTGTAAGGTGAAGCCTTTACTCGTTTTGCGGCCAACACATAAAATACTCATTTTCTCTAATCAGCTAGCGAAGCATCTCGAAGACGGTGTGGAACTGAAAGCGACAGTGTTGCCATATTAAAATGTTTAATATCTGTAATACGTTTGACGAATACATCTTTGGATGAAAAATCCGCGTTTATGTATTGAAAGTTTATTCGTGTCAAACATAGAATAAACGACAAAAATAAGTTTTTTTATAGATAGGTACTGAATATTTCGTATGATCGAAAAAGATCGTTTAGTTGGCTTGGAAATGACGAAAAACTATTGATATTTACCATAATATTTTACATATAAAATAACAGCGATCTTTATTTTCAAGCCAACTCTGATGCCGTTCTTTGTTTAATCATGTAATATTATATTAAATTGTTTAATGATAGAAAATCCGTATTATTAACGTACTGTAACGATAATCCGTAAATCTACGGATTAAACGATAGTTCTGGCAACACTGTCACCAGCAACCACCCACTCTGTCCACTAAAAGCAGAACTACGGTACAGTATTCTTTATCCGCTGCACTGTATCAGCGTGAACCGACGCAGAGCTAAACTAAATCTCGGACAGGTTGACTAGCGGCGACGGTATCGCCAGCTACATCTCGGACAGGTTTTGTACCACGAAATCGCCCATAGAGTTCAGCATCTTTTTATTTCTTCAATGAACGCCGGCACGAAATCGGGCATAAAATTTTCAAGTATTTTAAAGTTCTAAAAAAAATGTTTTTTTTCAAACGTCACAGAAGTATTAATTGTTGCGACGTGATTGACAGTATAAAAACGTTATTTTAACAGAAAGCAGCGAACACTGAACAACAAACAAAAATGTAAATTACACAATACATGAGAATGTTTTGAATGTCACCATTAAATGTTTTGATTCCTTTAAAAAAACTGATATTCGCAAATCTAAAATTTGACAACTCATGAGGCACAGGCCTTTTTACTTGAGGTTTGTTTAAACTAAAAAATATGTTCTTACTATTGTTCTGTTATTTTAGTAAATATATTTCGAATTACCCTGTATATGCCTCTAATCCGACACGTGGTATAATCTATCTTCTCATTGCAAACGTTTCCTAGCGAATGTGCCTAATTCGCTAAGCCGTTCAGTATTTTGAATCGTACCGACTTAAATCGCAGGAGGCATTTGAAACGAGGCTAAGCCCAGCTTTGCTGTCACATCTGCCTTTCAATTTAAGACCAAAGCTACCAAATATCGCCATTCAAAGGGTATTTATACAACCACGATTACAGACAATGTGTAATTTTTATCTTGAACAACACAGTAATATAATGTTATTAAGTTTGTAGAGATATATGGAGTGGTCAGAATTAAAATTGATCTTTATACATTTATAAAATATTGTTTTTTCCTGCAGAGAAATGAATCAAGTCATACTTCACGCATAAAATAGCTATAGCCTGTTCCTGTTTGGTTTTCGAATATTCTGTGTTGACTCCTTTCAGAAGTGAACTGAATCAAGTCCATAAAATTTAACGTTGCGCGCGATTTTAACACACGTGCTTAGAGCTATTTTTTTTTATCAAATGGACGACAATGAAACAAGTCTGAACCATTTGCACCAAGTGAATGAGATTATCAGCCATCTGAAAGGTCTGATTCTATCGATTCTGACAGTATATTTTGCTTTATCATCATTTTTACTATTACTATATCAATAAATTAGACTGTTTTTCTTACAAATAGTTAGATATGTGAAATGTTGTTGATCTGAATAAAACTGCACGAGGAAGAAAAATCTTATCATTTCGTATAGACCTAACGTAACACACTCTAAAAGGCAACACATGAAAGATCTTCTTCCCTTTATCCCGCCTATATACCAAAATGTTTATATAAATCGAAGAAAACACTATTAATAGACAATGGGAAGTCAACATAAATCCCCAAGTGACGAGGAAGAATGTACCGATGAAACAATTTATATCTCAAATTTCAAATATTTTCAGAGATAAAATGGTCCAAGCCCAAAAAAATATATACAAACATTCTTAAAAATGACCACAGTTGTATTTTGAGTTACTTTAGTTTGCAATTATACAATTTAAAATATAATAAAGCATTGTGTCAAGTTTTCTTCTCCAGCTTGTTTTATTTTAATTAAGTAACATTAAAAAACTTTAACTCTCATTTTCTTCATAATTATCTTCTAGGACTTGATCCAGTTCACTTCTGAACCTTAAACCAAAAAAATATAGGAATCATAAAAACAGCTAGTTAAATATATAACAAACATTTTATTAACAATTATTGTTATGTTTGTTGCAGGTTCAAACTGGTGTGTACCCATCATCGAAACCCGTACCAAACTTCGAAAACGATCCGTCGGCAAGGTACCAGCCTCAATACTCCACTTTGGGGAAGTATTCGTACTCTCCAACGCCACACAGGAAGCTTCAGGATAGAGATGAAATAGACAACATCTTCACTCAGAGCGCTCTAAACGCTCAACCAATCAAGAGGGAGTTCAGAGAGGAGTATTATAAGGATGTGAGGAAAAGGTAAAGTCAAATTTTATTTTTTTCTTAAGAATGTGTATTAATATTATAGAATATGTTTCAATACCAAAAAAATTGTATTAGTTTAAAACAAAGAGTATTTACATTAATATTTTTATGTATTTTAAAAAGTCAATATATTTTGTTATAGTTTGCCGATTTTTGTCATTTTTTTGTAATTAACAGCTTATTACCCTGCAGAGTTTATACCAAAGGTTTATACATTTTGTAGGGACCAGGTAGATGACCTACTATAATATTGTAAAATCCCAAAATTAAGAAATTGGCGCTATTCCAATTTCATTATACCAGAACAAATCAATGAAAAAGAAATATTAGCGAAGTAAATATACTTATTTGCAGGTATGATCCGTTAAAGAGGAGTTTTACCGAAGGTACCTTGAGAAGAAGCCCGGAAAAGGTCACTTTCAAGTCCAGTTCAACCGCTACCAGTCCATATTCTGATTCGGAAAGTCTGTCACCACCTGGTCAGTTCAGGAATAACACCAAATCGCCAGAATTTCACGAATCGTAAGTAACTTATTCTAATTTTTATTAAAATCATATTTGTTGGAATATGAATATGACAACATCCAAAAAATTAGAGAAAGCAGACGAAACTAAAGCATCCATTTTTGTTTATCATCCATTTCATTTTATTAATTCGGCATCAAAAATAAAAGCAACATTGTATATAAGTTTCATATACATACACAAATCCTGCATTGTTTGAGATATCCCCATTTTAACATTTACTTGTAGTAGTGGATTTTGTCAATGTTTTTAATTGACATATTTCGTATACAAAACTCATAGATAGATAAATAGATAGATTTTTGAGATGGCTATCGGTCTGTTCCATTACGAACTTTTCATATTTATTTTGATCATCTTTTGATCCTTAGGTTACATTCTCCAAACCTATCAAAAAATCTAGCCAACTTGGAGAATGAACCCTCCATGTAGCTGTTTGCCAATGGCCTATCATTGCCTAGTACAAAGAATCGCACATTTTCTAGTCTCTTTCACCGACATAAAACGTATTCTGTCGTTTCTTCTTCAGATTGACAAGATCTGCAAGTGGTTTCGTGCATCGATCCCAGCTTTAGATGCCTGTAAAGCTTACAATGCCCTGTTAGTGGACCCACTACAGCTTTGACAGTCTTCCTGCCTTTGCTTGTCAGGTTTGTCGTAAATTTTGGCGAATGAATTTATGAACTTTTTCACCTCTCCCTGCCCTTGTAAATTTCTCCACCATTGTAGAAATTTGTTGGCTACCCATTTGTTCTAGCGAATGCTTTTGGAGCTGCACAGAAGGATACAATGGCTAATTTTGACAATGTCCAGAAGCAGTGCATGCGAGAGGTCACCTACGTGATACTTAGTATACTATTATATAAAGATATTCATGGTTACAAAATCCCGCTTAAGATGAGCTGGTCACATATGCAGAATGCAAGAAAACCTCATACCAAAATCTCTGCTTTTCGGTGAGCTTGTAGACGGTAAGAGGAGGCCGGGTGGACAACTGAAAACGTACAAGGACATTTTCCACGAAAACTTAAAGGAGATTAACATGCAGAATGAGTGGGAAGAAGCAGCTCACAATAGAACTCAATGGAGAAGAATTGTAAACTCAGTTAACAGCGACAACCAAAAAGCAATGATATTTTTGAATGTCCGGTGTGCGGTAGGCAGTTAACATCACGTATCGGGCTTTTCAGTCACAGAAAAGCTCATGAAAGAAAACGCCTTGCGTGACCATCTTCTGATGTGTGTCGAATACTCGTCAGCGAGTAATGGCAGTATGTATGGATTTATGTATGTACGTTATACTAATCAAAGTTGCATACCATTTAAACTCTTAGATAAAAATTACCATTACTTTTATTAAATAAAGCAGTCAAGAGTTTCTCACGATGGTCAAGCGATATAAACATATCAAAATCTCGAAACAATCACCTGCAAATCCGAACGCATCGTATCTTACCTCCGCTCTGTCCGCGTCCTTAAAAAACAAATTTCTCGCATGGCTTTTTATGGTCACGATCAGGGACGAATAAGGCAACGTGTAGTATACGTCGGCTACGTCACCTTCGATTAGGCCGACTTCTTTCTGTCTTCATGCTCGGTGTGGTAAGACTTTGGTACGCATAAACAAGCGTAGGTCGGGACATGTGCAACTATGTGTGTTTACTTCAATCAAACATATTAATTTTAGCTATTAATGGAATACTGTAGAAAAATCAATAAAAGTTGTTGTGTACATACATCACCAAATTATTTGACGACTGCACGTCACAATGTTGCTACGTCTACTTTTTTACTTTGACTTTTGACAAGTCTCAAAATCAAAATTTTCTCACCGATTTTTTTCTTCTTTCAATTTTCGACACGATCATATACAAATATTTGTTATACCGGGTGCGTCTCAAAAGGGGCTCACCGCTATAGCTTTTTTATTTTTTTAGATAACAGAACAAGATTTGGTGTGTTAATATATGACATAAATTGATCGACGTATTCAATTAATTGTTTTCCGCCACTTCCTGTTTCACCGGAAATGACTACAACTTTTGATTTTTAAAAGGTACCCTCGGTATTTTTTTAGTTTATTCGATATAAAATGACGTATCATATCAGAAGTTGACATATCATATGTCAACTTTTGTAATTTCCAATCTAGAGTGCCATGGCTATGTTAAAAACACTAACTTTTAATCTAGGAGCCTTGGAAAAATAGATTTGATGTCTAATGTTTTAGTGTCTTGTCCTGGTCGGTTAAAAGATGCTCAAATCGTATTTTTTATCATATCTCAATTTTTCAAGTAGAACGAGTGTGGCTCATTAGTATATTTAGAAAAAGCATTTTTTTAAGAATAATTTGATACAACACACTTGGTATTTCGAGTCAAATTGTCGTTATGAACCGCGTGTTGCAATTTCAAATAAACTATATTTGAAAATGTCAAAAGTTGACATATGATATGTTATTCTATTCTGAGGGTCATTTTCTATCGAATAAAGTAACAAAATACCGAGGGTGCCATTTAAAAATCAAAAGTTGTAGTCATTTCCGGTGAAACATGAAGTGACCGGAAACAATTGAATACGTCAATCAATCCTAATTTATGTCATATACTAACATACAAAATCTCGTTTTTTATCTGAAAAAATAAAAAAGTTAGAGGGGTGAATACATTATTACTTGGTTATGATTATTACACAAATGAATTCCATTTTAGTGAAGTTATTAGCAAGTTTTCTGAATGAAACACGTAATGTTCTAATTGGCTAACATTAGTCTGCAATTGTGTGATTCCACTTACAGTCTGTAAACTCATATTGAGCGAAGTTTAAAAGCCGCAAAAAATTAAGCAGCAATATCAATTTTTATGCCTCTCATGCAGTTTAACGACAAAAAGGACTCGCCATTATATTTTCCTGTTCAAAATAATTGAATAAAGACGAGACAAATAAAACTTGGAAAAAAAAGAATCGGAATGAAAATTGAAAATGAAAAATGTTAGATTAGAAAAAAATTACAAAAAATACTAAAATCGAAAACAGACTGTAAAACAATTGTAGTATAAATAATAAGTAACATAAAATAAGCTCTGAAAAGCACAACAAATTCAAACAAATCAATTGAAACGTTAAAAAACGTAAAAACAATTAATAGTAACAGGAAATAATTCATTGAAAATATCGAATATGTTTATTCAAATGGAGGGGAGGTATTTAACATAATTATTTTTTTTAATGTTCTCAGAATAAAACAGAAACAAACTATCACTAACCAATATTGATAACAATATTGGTTAGTGATATACCAACAATTCAAATGCCATCTTTGTTGTTTTTATAGTATGAAAATTTCATAAAAATATGGAGACATTTCCCCCTTGATTACAATTCTAGAACTTGAAGTAGTTCTTAGTGAGGAAATCACGTAAAATATTACTTGGAAATATAAAGGTATTTTAAATAAAGGCAAAATACGTATTGAACTGTCCATAGTAGAGGACATCGAGGACAAGCTCGTGTTTAATGATGTTTTCTCGTAATTACCCGTTCGATTCGCCATAACTTTAATGAAGTCTGGCCATATTTAACCACTTTACTTCTTGGAAACGCAGTGAAAAAACACTATTTCCTCTCGGTGTTCTTAGTTCGTAAAGAAATGTCTTATTCCCATCTACTTAAACGGCCTCGAACTCTTGGTTCTGAACGAAGCTTTTGTATTTTAATTTATAAAAGGACAGTAAGATTAATTATTATTGTTAGAATAAGGCGGTTGCCAAATTTGGTCGTGATATTTTTTGCCAACGAATTTATGCAGTATTATTTTTTAAACGAATCAAAAGACCTTCTAATATACAGGGTGGTCCGAACTGTATCACGGAAACTTCATTAGCGTATTCTGCAGATAAAAATAGGTAAAAAAGTTCTTATAAATGTATGTCTTAAAATGCTTAGTTTCGGAGATACAGGGTGTACAAGTTTCATATTTATTTCGATTTTTTCGAAATAATTTATGAAGTATCGTCAATATTTGGATGAAAATTGGTATCTGGGAGTGTTTTGACATAAGAAATTTAATTTTGGTGTCAATATGACTCCTACTTGTAGAGAGCGCCACCTACTTATTTTTTAACTGGTTTGAAGAGTAATAACTTTTCGTCCGTACCTGTATAAAATTAGTCAGTAAAAAAATATAAATTTACGACGTTTTTTACGTAAAAAATGTCTCTTAGTAAAAATCGCTACAAGTAATGGTTCTTTTGGAATCGAAATTATCAAGACCTATCATCATTGACATAAATTAAACATGTTGACTAACAGTTATTAGACTGAATTCATAAATTTGAAATGTTTTTGTGCCAAAAGTTCAATAAAAACTGTTTTATCATCATTTTTTCGCAGAAAAAATTATGATTAATTTAGAAAAATGAAAATTTTCCAAATTTATATTTCAGTCAAATAACTATCTACTGAACGTACGTTCTGTAAATAGTTATGTGTTCATTTTTTGTCAATAATGAACAAACATGTATTGACTATTTCCATTTTTAATATCTTGAGAACGGTTGCTCGTAGCGATTTTTACCAAGAGACATTTTTGCGTAAAAAGTCACGGAAATGTATATTTTTTTACTCAGTAGTTTTATACAAGTACGGACGAAAATTTATTATTCTTCAAAACAGTTAACACATAATATGTAGGTGGCGCCCCCTACAAATAGGAGTCATATTAACATCAAAATCAAATTTTTCATGTAAAAAACACCCAGATACCAATTTTCATCTAAATATTGGCGTTACTTTATATTTTTATTTGGAAAAAATCTAAATAAAAATGAAAGTTCTGCACCCTGTATTTCCGAACCTCCGAACCAAACATTTTAGGACATACATTCATACGGACTTTTTTGCACATTTTTATCCGGAAGTTTCCGGAATACATTTCGGACCACCCTGTATAGGTATTTAGTTTGATGTTTAATTTGATTCGATTTTACTTAAAGCCC